CCCCAAAACCCCAAAACCCCAAAACCCCAAAACCCCAAAACCCCAAAGTTTTTAAGAAAAGTTGATATCAGACTGAGTTTAAAAATGTCCAAAATGGAGCAACAAATGATTAGAGTTAATTATAAAAATCATTGAGCAAACTTAAGAGTTATCCTCGTCTGTGTAGTCCTCATCATCTTCAATTTCCTGGGGGATATTAGATTTTGAAGGACTATCCTTAGTATTTGACGCAATAGATTGAACTTTCTCATCCTCTTTTTCATCTTCATCATCCTCATCTTCTTCATCATCTTCATCATCTTCATCATCTTCATCATCTTCATCATCTTTATCATCTTTATCATCTTTATCATCTTTATCATCTTTATCATCTTCATCATTGACTTCATCGACTTCATCAATTTCATCCTCGCTTTCAGGAGTTTCTTCGTCATTTTCATCAGAATCATGATGCTCTTCATCAATATCATCATCAACCTCGTCAGCTTCTATAATCTCATCCATCTTCTTATCGCTGAGCTCTCCTTTCTTATTAAAAACTAGCTCTGTAACAGGAACTGAGCTCTTTTTAGAAGGATTTTTAGACTTCTTTACCTTCATTTTTACTCCTTGACATACAAAGTCAATCCCGCATGCGTTCTTTGGGTTATTTTCAACAACTTTCTTCCTTCATATTCATTGCCAGTCTCCTGTATCCACTTTAGACTTTTTCTTAGCGTAATGGTAATCTACAATAACTTTAACAGTATCCTCCATAACTTTCTTGCAGAGAATTTCAGTAATCGTAGTACTAAACTCCATAGTTGGAGAAGAGTTTACCTCCAACAAGTAAGGATTCAAGTCCTCGTCAACCATAAGATCAAACCCGAACAGTTCAGTGCAGTTTGCAGATCTGTTATTTTCATCGAACATGTCTTGAACTGATTCTCAAGTGTATTTCACAACCCTCTGCATCTTTTTCATTAGGCCTCCTTTTTCCCAAATGTCATGATTGTATTTTTCTTGAATAAACTCCTGGAAATTTTCAACAGTCCACATGTTCCCATCTCCCATTTCTACAGCATTCTTAGCATATTTTGCAACTGAGTTATTGGTCAGGTGGACAAACCTATCATCCAGATTATTCGGGTCATACTCTGCTGCAGGGAATCTAATATAAGGTTTATTTCCAGAACCATATCACCAAAGGATTCCAGCTAGTGACTAGGACCCATTGTCTGATATCAAACTTTCTGCCATGAATAATCATCGGATTCTCAATGTATTTCTGAGCAACCCATTGGCCTTCCCTATGGCAATTATCAAGTATCTCAACGAGGGATGAGAACACTTCGATACCTCTTCCTCTCGACAGCCCTGCCGGCTTCACAATCCAGATATTATTAATTCCATTCATGTCATATTGCACAAATTTTTTCTTAAGCCTCTCACAAATATCAACTCATCTTTCTCTGAGCTCATCTTCATCTTCAATATCGATTGTCTCTTTCAACTCGTTGTCATCAGCTTTCTTCTTCTTTTTCTTAGGCTTTTTCTTTTCTTCCTTCTTTGGCTTCGAATGCTGAGAGACTCTCCAGCAATCCATCTTCTTAAGCCAATCGTTATGCTTCTTTTTAGCAAGCTTAGACTCATCCAGCTCATCTTTTGCAATAATTTCCCATTCTTCATCATTGACTAGACATTTAGGAGGATTTTTAATGTCAATGATGTCATCGAGATCGAGAAGTCTCCTCTCACAGACTTTCATAGCAGTTTTGAGCGAATTTTTATTAACATCTTCGATCTCGTTAGCATATTTCTTCACCAAACATTCCGCCTTCAGAGCTTTGAATTGTTCTATGAATTCTTCAAAGTCATCACGATCTTTCAAGTCAAAGCATTGAGGATAGAAGGAGTCAACATCTACGTTGTTAAACCACACCAGGTTCTTAAGAGAGTGGCAAAGACCAACTTTTGTTGTGATAGCTGTAGATTTACAGAAATGATTAACAATCTGATGCTTTTCTAAATTGCTATGATGAAGATCTTTGGCTTTAAGCGTCCATTTTAGATCAAATCAAGGACTATTGGAGTCTTTGTTCTCAAACCAGCCTCTTTCAGTAAGAGCTTTTCTGATAGTTCCATACCCACCCTTGATTCAGAACACCTTGGTTTTCTTTGATAATCTATGTCTCTTTTTCCAAGAGTCAAAATCTGTGATGTTTGTATAAACTTTTTTCTTTTGAGTATTTCTCTCCAAAAAGCTTTGAATATCATCACTATTCATCTTTCTGGTATCTTTAGTTTCTTCTTCAATCTCGGGTTCTTGTTTAGGCTTTTTCTCGACATTACCAAGCATTCCTTTGACCTTAGCTCTAAGGTTCTTACGAAGCTTTTCTTTTCTCTTCCTTTCCTCCTCTTCTTCAGCATTCTCTTGCTTTTTCTTTGCAGCTAAAGAGTCAAGATACTCCTGCTGCTTTTTCCTAATCCGCTCATTTGCTTCTTTATTGCTCTTCTTTGCATCATCATTTATCTGTCCATCTACTTCTCTAGCTTGGGCAATCTTGTTCCTAGAGTAAATATTACCAAGCTCCTTACATGAGTCTATTCTCACTCCTAGGCTTTGCTCTGCTACTTTTCTCTTCTTCCTTAGGCTCAGAATTAGCTTGTTCAGATCTGAACCTACTCTGGACATTATCAATGCCGAATTTCTGTAGCATCTTTGCTTTGAGCCTCTCTTCCTTCTGTCTTGCCTTCTCTTCTTCCTCCTTCTTCTTGACATTATCTTCTTTCAATGTCTTCAGGAAGGAGATGTACCTATTCTTAAAGTACTTTTGAATTTTAGCGTTCTCTTCCTTCTTCTCTTCATTATCAAACATTTCAATGTCTTGGTCATCATCTTGAAGAGAACTTGATTTAGGCTCTGCTTTAGAGGCATGCTTCTTCTTTTTAGGCTTAGGGTTCAGTTTCTCTTGCTCTTCCTCCAGTTTTCTTCTTTCTTCTTCCTCCTTCATACGCTGTTCCTTTATTTTCCGATGCTCTTCAGCTCTTTTAAAAACCTAGATTTTGGTATTAGAACAATAAATATGTAAAAGATATGGAGATGTGAGGAGGTTGTATAAATACGCACAATTTCTTTCAGTTTTTCCCTTTCTTCCTGGGCTTTCTTTCTTTGGTTCTCCATGATTTCAATCTCTTGGGCCTTCTTTTGTTGAAGTTTTTGAAGTCTTTCTAAGTTCTTTTGTTCGAAGTCAACATCACTGGTCTTTCCCTTCCTGTTTTTAGTGGAGTCAGACCCATCAATAATGTTGCTGTTGTCTCTAAGAACAGTGCTTGAGTTCTTCTGGACCCGAGAAGGTACCTTAGATTTGTGGCCCTTATAGTTTTGCCTTCCAGTATTATTAGAGGATTGTTTAATTATAGGTGGCAAAGCAGTCGTGTTCTCATCTACACGAGAAGTTCTCTTCATCTGCTTTAGCATCTTTATACTAGCGGGTTGTTGCTGGGTATATGGATCCATATTCTTCCACTTTGCACTTGATGATCGATTATTTAGCCATCTTGCCTCTTTTTGAATTCTTTTTACTCATTTTCCTGGTTAATTTTTGATAATTTTGCTGTTCGTACCCTTCTTGTACAAACTGATCTTCATCAATAAACTCTTGAGATTGCTCTTCACTTGTAACCATCGGCAGCATATGGTTGTTTCCTTCAGTTTCGATATTCAAAAGTTGGGCTGGAACTGGTTCCTCAAATTCTTGAGTGGGATCTTCCATTTGTCCGATCTAGTTAGAGTAATAAAAATTTGACTTATGAGATTTTAATTAGCTGCAATAAAGATACAGTAGCTCAAAATTTTAATCTAAAGATTCGCTTGAATTGGGTCAAAATTTATAATAAACAAACAGATTTTATATGAATAAGTGCAGTGTTAAATAAAAGCCACTTACGTTATTCATATGATCAGGTACAGCTTCTGATCAAGCAAGGTATTCGCTAAGTAACCCTCCGGTACCTATATCTCCTGGTTTAGCAGGTTCTGGCTCCATACTTGTATTTAAATGTTTTAAATAAATAATTTTGAATTTTCCAAAGCTTCTGCTTAAAGGGGTTTTGGGGTTTTGGGGTTTTGGGGTTTTGGGG